CTCTGGCTAGAGTTATAACGCACCGTGACCAACGAAAAAGCCAACACGATGCAGTAGCCTATCTCGTAGAAGAGCCGATCTAATGGAAGAGTAAGCTCCAAAAGCATTTTCGATCATCCAATGGAGACCCAAAGACTCTTTACCTGAGATTGAAGGCTAAATAAACCGACGGACTCCTACCGATCCATCAGACTCAGTTGAGCCAAACAAACTAAGCTTATCCGGCCAAGCCAGAAGGCAAACAAACGATAAGACGTTGTTCGTAAAATTTCATAAATACTTTGGTATAGACCCTCTCTAAATAGAAGTAAAATATAAAGTCACAATTGAGACCCAAAGACTCTTTACCTGAGATTGAAGGCTAGATAAACCGACGGACTCCTACCGATCCAGCAGACTCAGTTGAGCCAAATAAACTAAGCTTATCCGGCCCAACCAGAAGGCAAACAAACGATAAGCCGTTGTTCGTAAAATATCATAAATACTTCGTTATAGACCCTCTCTAAATAGAAGTAAAATATAAAGTCACAATTATATATACAGTATCTTTTATGAAAAGAAAAAAAAAACATTTAATGATGGAATAACACTGTTTTATGGTGTTCATCTCTGTCCTGCTCCTCATGTATGCTTATAATGTGTGGCAATTCGTATATAAATAAATATAATGTGGATGAATATGGAGATGCGTGGAGGGCTTTTGTGATCAGGATAAGCAGATGAGTGATTGTTTACCAAGTTAACACGTTATTTATTTATTTTAATTAATTTTCTTCTTCTTTTTTTTTAAGGACAAGAGGAGGTATCCAACGTGAACCGTTGACTATATTTTCAATGAACATTTTCTTAGAAAGATTTACCTGCAAAACATTTATATTTTGTGTATTTACATATTAACTATTTAATTTATTTTTTTTTTGGTTCACTCATCGATGACATGATGGTTGCACACCTTGCCGTTGGGTTTGATGAATTCCAAACATGTGCATTATGTAACCTAATACTTTGATTTGATTGTTGTAATTTCATTCTTATTTATGGCTTCTACTTTTATAGTTCTGATTTTTCTTAGCTTAGCAGCTACAAACTCTTGATTTGTAAATCTATGTTTCATTTATAAACACATGAAACCATTAATATTACTATCATTTCTAAATTTCATTTATTTATATGCAGACGAAAATAACCCACAGACACACAAAATAATAATAATAAATAAAAAGAGAACTAGCTATGACGATTGCATTTTTATTTTTTCATAATTTTTTATATTTTCCTGCTAAAAATAATATTCAAAGATAATTCTTCTATAAAAGAGCCTCAACAAATACTATTTAAAGTCTTCTCCGGAGCTCTTTCTGTACATCTCCTTCCATCCCCAAAGTTGCCACCGTCAGAACTTCAAGCTTCCCGTGCTTCATTAATGGCGCCTATTTCTCAGGTAATTCATTCTCACAATCTTCAATCTCTCTGCATAATTTTCTCATTCATTAATATTCATCTAAATACTTAACTGAAGGCTTCCATCGAAGAAAAAAATAATGGATCAGAAAATATGGGCGAAAAGGCAAAGATGATTAACTGCAACACGGTGCTGTGGGAAGTCAAATCTTCCATTAGAGGAGTCATGGCTGAGCTTCAGACTTTATCTAACAGCGAGAAAACCGTTATCTCTCTCGGCACCGGCGATCCCACCGCCAATCCACAGTTCCTCGGCCGCCGGCCGCCGTTCATTGATTCTCTCTCCTCTGCTCTCACTTGCTCTCTCTCCGACTCCTACGCTCCTTCCTTTGGCCTCCCTTCTGCTCGCCGGTAAGCCTATCTTTTCGGATAATTACCCTAAATTACAGAAATATATTTTTAAATTTTTGCTTCTTATATTTTATTTAAAGAATATGATTTTGTGAAAAATAAAACAATAATTGTGAACATGGATGGAAAAAAAACAAGTAATTGTTTTTATTAGTCCTGATTAAGTATTACTCAATAAACATCTATTTTCTTGTATTTTTTATATTTGCATATCTTATATATAAATTTATATAAAGTTTTAACTCATAAATATGGCATAGAAAGATCATTAACATTAAACATTTAAAATTAATAAATCCATTTATAACTTTTTTTTTATATCATCAAAAGTATGACACATATTTTTATGTATTTTCATATTTTCATGCAGAACATTCAAATTAGATATATAACTTTCGCAAATTTACAAATTAGATGTATAAACATGTAAGAATGATTTATATCTCACATTTAATTTAGAATCAGTTGCAAGAAGTCAGAACATTTGTCGTACTGCATGTAATGTGCGGCTATCGTTACGCAATTGCATGTTAGCGTGTGGTAGGTTCCGTTGGGTGCCATGAGGCAATATTGGTCTTTCTTATAAAATTATATTTTCGTGGAAGAATAAAAGATTATAATATTTTAATTAAAGATAACTATAAATAAATTTTTAAATTTTAATTTATCTAAAAATGGTAATAATAACAAATAATAAATTAGTTTATATCATTACTAATTTCCAAAAAAATCATGAATTTTAAATTTATTATAATTAAAACTTTATCTGACATGGTATTAATTTATATCTGTATTTTTGTAACTATTCAGCCCATATATTATAGTAATAGATATTTAATTCCTTAGTTGAGTCATGGGACAATGACAAATCTGACGTTATGTGCATAAGGACAAGCATTATTTTAATGATTAAATAATTTAAAAATGAGAATGTTAAATCAGTTGATTAGGTATGTCATAAAAGCTCCTTCTTTGTGAATTCAAATTTATTGAATTTATTTTGAAATGATTACAGCATAATTTTTTATTGTTTGATTGTATGTTATACCTAAGCAAATAAGGATTTGATTCCTAATCTTTTTGTAATATAAATTTGTATAATGTATTTAACTAAATGTATAACTTTTAATATTTTATAAAATATAATAATAGAACTCACAGATATAAAATTAATATTTTTACATATCTACATGTGCACGCGTATCCACACTCACGCACGTGCACACTATATATTGAATCCAAAAATTGTTTGTGAGTCAGATCCAATTAATAGACTGTACATAGGATGAGAGATAGATGAATTGTAAAAAATTGAGTCTCCACTTCTTTGAATGGTTATCCTATTTATAGGAAATTTATTAGAATATTGATATTACTTTTTACCCATATTTTAGAGGGTATACACCACGGCTCACCGTTTAGTTGTCTTCTGTCCTGGTCGACTAACCTTAGTTAGCATGGCTTAACCAAGTTATCTCGGTTAGTTGAGCTTGGTCGATGTGGCTCTATCGGCTAAACCCAACATGTTGGCTATCTTCAATATCCGAAAGAAGACTTTTGTCCTCCGCTGGATGGTTGAAGATGCTTTGTGGACTCTTTCACTATGGGATATATTATTATATTGAGTTGACTTTCATGTAGTTAGTGTCCCCTGATGATGACTCATTTCCAGGCAAATAGCTTTTAATAGAATCACTTAGTCATTCTCTCATAAACTGTTGAACTTGGTCAGCTCTGACCTGATTTTATTGGCTCATCTGGCTTAGAGGGTCTCATGATCTCTTTGTATGGGATTGGCTTCCTTCGTATTGTTCTCTTATAAACTGTTATATATCTGTTAACATCAGTATATAAACTTTTTGATATACACATTTTGGATCATATAATTTATTTAAAACATGAATTTGAGACGTACATATTGCATTTGAAGTCAACTTTTCTTGAAAATTAAAAAAATAAATGGCGTTTTAAATGTGACAAAAAATAAAATTTAAATATTAGACATGCAGGTATGTAAAATGCCCCTATTGAGTTAATACAAACTTCTGATTTGGCAGCGCGGTGGCAGAGCATTTAAACAGGGCGTTGGACAATAACACCGTCGGTGGACCCGCCCCTTTCCACGTCTCGTCCGACGACGTCTTCCTCACCTCCGGCGCCACCCAAGCCATACATTCCATCCTCACCGTCATCTCCTCCGCCGGCGGTAACGTCCTCCTTCCCCGGCCAGGATTTTCTCTCTACGACTTTGCCTGCGATATCGCCGGTGTCCGCCGTCGCTACTATGACTTACTACCGTCTCGCCGATGGGAAGCTGATCCCAATCAGATACGAGCCGTTGCCGATGATCTAACCTTAGCCATCGTCCTCATCAACCCTAATAATCCATCCGGCGCTGCTTTCTCGGCTAATCATATTTTACAGGTCGGCCGATTCTCCATTCTCTCCTCTTTCGCTTTCTCCTTCTCCTTCTCCTTCTCCTTCTTCCCCCGAAACCGTAAAGCACACTGTCCAAATTATGGCTATGAATTTAACCCGAAGATTTTTTTGGATTGAAGTATAAATGCCAGTCAAATTGTGACCAAATCTTACTCGATTCCCGAGCGGATCGATTTGCTGTAGTTTAAAGTAAGCATTTACGCTCTCATATACATATATGTATTTGTGCTATTGTATACATACAATGCAGATTGCCGAGATTGCTAGGGATTTGAACATTCCGATAATCGCCGATGAGGTTTATGGTGGAATTGTCTTTGGAGGCGGCAGCTTCATTCCCATGGCAAATTTTGCTCATATAGCGCCGGTTATCACCATCGGATCGCTGGCCAAGCGTTGGATGGTTCCTGGCTGGCGTCTTGGCTGGTTAGTCATTTGCGATCCACAAGGCACCCTTCAAAAGGTATGCTTTCTTAATTAAGCTCCAAGTAAACTAATAGCTATTGAGAATTGATGATTTTGATATGTTTATGTATGATTGGATCTTGCCTGTGTTAGGTGAGGGAGGCAACTGAAATATTTATGAATGTGAATTCTGGCCCAGCTTCAGTGATCCAGGTTTCAAGTTATCCCCTTGCCTGCTTACTTTTCATGTTCTCTTGCTTTCTACTAATCTGATGCTGTTTGTTCTCGCCATTAATACTGGAGCAGGCTGCACTTCCGTCAGTCCTCTCTAATGCAAATGAGAAATTTCATGAGAATGTCGTCAAGTTATTGGACTTATGTGCGGACACCTTATTTAGAGGGTTGGAGAAAATTGAAGCGCTGAGATGCTATTCCAGGCCTCAGGGTGCTATGTTCATGATGGTATACAAACACTTCATTTATTTGTTGAGTGTGGGAATGCTAAAGTTCTTAGGACAAGAAAAAGAGTAAGAAGAAAGAAAGGAGAGAAATTCACATACCGAGCACACAATTCCTATGTATTGACACATTTCGCAACTTTCATATTTACATGCACAATTACATGCACAACACTCAAATTTTAATATCACATAAAAAATAGCACTATTATCACTTTTTAAAAAATGAAACACACTTTTTCATGGATAGGTTTAAAGCACGAAAATACTATGTATGTAAGTATGCTAGTTTAGGTGCGAGATTTGTAAATGCATAAGAATTGTGTGCTATGTATCTAAATGCACCAAAACTCAGTATGATGAAGTGGTAATTTTATTTCTTGCTTGTTGCTTGATACAAATTCATAGACATGAGATATATTTATAATAGTAGAGCCCTATTTTGAAAGAACATATTATGCCCGGGCAATGTATGTTCAGGCGACGACGTGAATCACATCACACCGCTTGCATAGTGGCACTGCTTGCACAGTGGCGTGGTACGATCAACGCCAATATATGGAATACATCTAGACACTAGACATAATATTTTCTCCTATGACTATAATCGACTTTCTAGAATTTTCAACTATCTTCAGTGATGAAATTCGTTAAATGCTATTTTAGATTTGTCTGCAGACTGGTCTTCAATATGTCTCTTGAATCATCTCAGGAATATTTTAGATTATCGGCTCATCTTTGGATAACTAAAGGACAATTAAATATGGGCCAAATTAAGTTTAATTTCCAACACTTTCTCCTGGTTTTGAATATATTTACAGGTTGAGGTGGACACCAGTCGCCTTCTTGGCATTGAGAGCGACATGGATTTTGCTAAAGAGTTAATGAAAGAAGAGTCCATCTTGGTTTTGCCAGGTTTGGATAAAGTGATGCATTTTCTTACTTATATTTTTTGTTACCTTGTTGCATTTCTTTCTCAAGCACTTACATATATATCACATAAGTTAAGGGCATTTACATACATACCTCTCAATCCCTATGTATTCACATATCTAACACACAAACTTTTCTGTTTTTACATTTATATCACCTAAATCTTTCAGATCAAATTAAAAATACCACTTTTTAAACTTTTAAAAAGTTTTAAAAAGTGAAATACATCATTTCATGCATATTAAAGGTGATATATCATATATGTATGTAAAAATTGAAGTATAGGTGCTGGATATGTAAATATACGGGGATTGAGTTGTATGTTTGTAAATCTTCCAATAATTAATATGGTGCTCAGCGCATGTCTATTTCCAATCAATTAAGGATGAAGATAGAAAATTTTCAACCGGCCAAAAATTAGAGAAAAATCTAATCATACTATCACTATGTTGGTTTAGCAGTTTGAGCTAATATATCATTTAATGACATGCAATTGCAATATATGTTATTATATATATATATATATATATTTTATAGGTTCCATATTGGGCTTGAAGAATTGGGTTAGGTTTTTCTTCGGATTGCCTCCAGGACTGTTAAATGATGCGTGTGAACGAATGAGATCCTTCTGCGAGCGGAGGATGATTAATGTCCGACAGATTTAAACTCCTAAATAAAGCTTTAATGGCTGTATTTTGATCATTAATCATGATCTAATTATTAGTTGTACTTTAATCGCATTTTTAATGAAATTAGTGCCTTGAGATAATCATATTTAGTTGAGGTGTGAATTATATTTATGGCTCCAGCATTCAATAGAATGTTGTATTTTGTTTTTCAAAATTTCACTTAGGAGATTTCTTCCTGCACGCACACCAACAAAAACCAATCGAGAGGGTATGTATTGATCATAAAATTGGAGGTAAGTAGACCATGTAAAGCTAGAAAATTTACAAACCTAACTCGATATATCTCCTCTTATAACAATCTAAATGTGGGGCATGTGATATGATTCATTGTAGATTAATCAGGTGGTGTCTCAATTTAAGAAAATATGGGTGTGCTCAAAACATTCCATATGACTTATGTGATGCATGCCATAGCCATATGCTGAAATATTGTATTTGATGTATGAAACTTCTCTAAAATTTACCACAAATTTTAGAGGTTATTTAATGCATTTAATAATTTTAAAAAGTAGTTTTTTTAATAATTTAAAGAAGTCTACAAATTAATACATCATTTAAGCTGTCAAAAGCTTTTAGAAATTTTTGAAGACTATTTCTCCATTCATTAAAATAGAATAGCGAGTAAATCAATTTTTTTTTTTTTATTCATTAAAATAGAATAGCGAGTAAATCAATTTTTAAAATAAAAAAAAAAGTAAATAGAAAATAGTACGCACTACAAAAAAAAAATAGCCCTTACAACAACACTTATTATTTAAAAAAAAAAAAAAACATATATTGAATCGAGATTGACCCTGAATATATTTTTATCCAGATTATCCCTTTTTAGGCTAAATTTGTTTCATTGTGAAGTTTAATTTGACTTTTTTGGTATAGTCAAGCTCAATAAATTATTTCCAAAAAATAACCCCACCGTGAAGGCAAGAATGGTAGACAAAGCTCATATATAACCCAATAAAAAAATAAATGGTTAATTTTAAGAAAGAAAAAGTTGACGTATTAATTCATGAATATTATCAAGGCAAAAAAATAATCATTTGTAGGTTACGTACTTAATGGATTATGAATGTGATTAATGTTCAGCGTACAACAAGCCAGCTATGTTTCACATCTTCATGAAATAAATATATTTATCTTGAAATGTGGATTACTCCATTTACAAACTTCATTGATGTCGATATAATGGTCCTTGTAATTTATAATTTTGACACAATTTTGAATGCTCTAATTATGAAATAAGGAACTTTAAATGCCCTCATAATGTTTGTACCGACCCCCTCCAATCAACCAAACACTTTAAAGTTATAAACATGCATAATTAAGGGTCTGTTTGGGGCAGCTTGTGCGTTTGCTGAAACGCGACCTAGGGGTCGACCGCGAAGGTCCACCCGCGGCCTGCATTTAGTGTAAAAAACCTAAACGCGACAGACAGTGTTTTCAAAAAAACACAAACCAAACAGTTAGACGGCGTTTTCAAAAATGCCACCGCACTTATAAGCTGCCCTAAACGGGCCCTAAATCGCTGAAGCTTGACATTAAATTCTCAAATTGTTGGCATAATCAAAACCAATTAATGTTTTTCATTCACCAACCATTTATATCCACACAAAAAAATTTATATAACATACAAATGATTAGATTGATCATTCCTCATCACCAAACTTCTGATACCCCCATCATCCATCACTTAACAACAAATATATGATATATATTAATAATGAATGTCTAATTCTCTCTAAGAGTTGATGTTTTTCAATGTTACACTCAACACAGGTCTATCTTTATCTCTTGGCCTCTCTTGTCATCTAAATAGTAAATAAGTCAATTACTTATCATTGCCCAACAATCGTCCATCCCTCTATGTTTATTAAATGCTCATCATTGCTCATCAACTTTAATAACTATACTCTTACTAGATCCATTAAACTACACCAACTCATTTTATTCTTGCTAGAAAAGGCATATTTATAATTCTTTGCTAACACTAGTTAAAAAAATTATTTAAATTACAATTGTATATAGTAAATAAGTCAATTACTTATCATTGCCCAACAATCGTCCATCCCTCTATGTTTATTAAATGCTCATCATTGCTCATCAACTTTAATAACTTTAGACTCTTACTAGGTCCATTAAACTACACCAACTCATTTTATTGTTGCTAGAAAAAGCATATTTATATTTCTTTGCTAACACTAGTTAAAAAAATTAATTAAATTACAATTGTATTTTTTACGGAGAAACCATCCACCTTGCGACCCATCATAATATCTAATAATACCAACATTTTCAATCAATTTTTATGATTTTTTAAAATAAATTCATATACTTATATGCCTTCGTGTGCCGTATTGAGATGCAAACTATAATGTTCTCCTTTGAGAATTTTCAATCAAGTTAACCGTACATATGATTACCATAAAGTGATTATATGATCCATAAATTAAACTATGGCGCGATGCTATTAACCTATGTATATGTGATTGTACTATATGGATTTGCTCTGCATTTGTTTCATGAATATTTCTTGTTATAGTATAATACATTCAATGCTTTATGTATGGGTATTATATTAAAATGTATATACTTTATTTATTAGACTTATTCTTTACTACAATTGATATATGTTTACACAGCTGGATTATTTGGAGTCATATGTGAATAATTCTCCTTGTTGTATTATAGACTTAATGAATAGATTATGACTACTTTTAAATATATTTTAGTATTGTATTAAATCATTGATTATTTAGGCTATTTGTTGACTAATTAGCGAGTTTATAAGCACTCCATAGAATTCTTAAGCATTTGCTTCTCTAATAACAAAAATCTGATATTTATATATTAAGACTTTCTTTCATAATCATATTAAAATATATTTATGAAAAGGTGCACATCACTTTAAGGAAATGGTATTAGTGATATTTTTTTTGTCATGTTAAAATTTAGGTATTTTGTATGTAATTATAAAATAAATATGTAGCATGGATGTAAATTCTTCTTTTATTTTTAAATTTGAGATATTTATTGAATAAAAATTCTTATGTTTATGAATCACCCCAACATTATTACGACCAATTTCAAGTATTTCAATAATATTTTTCTGAAAAAAAAAAACAAGATCGAAGTACTCTAGCTTAATTTTCATCAAAACAGCTTTTAAAATTATTATATGTTGATTTCCTGGTAAAATAAAATGTGTTTATTACATTTATAAATATTTTAATAATTTTCTATTTAATCACATAAATTTTAAAATAAAAAAATAAAAAGTTTAATTTATTTGTAAATTTAAATCACATAGTTCAATATCATTTAAATATGATAGTAATAAATAAATGAGAATAAATAATTAAAATTAAATAAAGTTTTTTAAAAAATATGATTATATTTTTATTTTTAAAAAATGTGATAGTTTTTTCAGGAGAATGAACCAAGCGTCCCCATCCTGGCGCCTCAACAAACAGACCTAATCAACAGACGGCAATGTCAATGGCGGATTCCACGTGGCACGCTCCTTGTGGGTCCTATCAGTCCTATTTCTGCGTCGCTGCACCGGATCTTAAATAAGAGAAAAAAAAAACGAGGGAAAGAACCCCATTAGTGCGTCTATCAGCTTCATCCGTAAGCCCCGATCTTTCGGCTTATTTTCTGCAATTAACCTATAAGATTCCTTCAAAGCTCGCTTTATTTTGCTAGATTTCGCCCAAACGATCTCAGATCCCTCTCTCTCTTTCTATTGAGCCGGAAGAGTATTGCCGCCGTGTGTAGCCGATCATTCTCAATCTACAGCCTTGCAGACGAGATCGGTCTCGGGTACTCCAAATTCGACGCCTTTGGTTGGCTTTTCGGCGGATCGGAAGGTATTTTTATTTTGATTTGCTGGCGGTTGTGAAGTGAGGGAGGGATTCTTCGTTTTCTAGCGTTCTCGCAGTTCGATAGAAGTCCGCCATGACGGGATCGGTGGAGCGCTTCGCCAGACCTTTCGGTGAGTTGAATTTGACATTTTCTTGGTAAAAATATAGGAAATATTAGGCAGTTTGCCGGCTAAAAATAGGATCTAGTAATCCTGTGAATCATGATTATGACCTTGATGAACTGTCTGACCGTTGAATCTTGTTAAATTTAGTAAATATCGAGAGGATTACAACCTGAAAAATGCTTTGCCGTGAGCTCTTTGTAAAAAACTAGCTTTTCTTACATGATTTAAGATTAACCGCGGAATCTAATCAATAGCGGATCTGAAAGGGGATTTATGAAAAGTTGCCACTATTCGTTTGACTAGGGTTAAGCTAAATATCGCTGAAATTCTGCTTAAAATAGGATACCAATCAGCCCTTTTTGTTATCTGCTTTCTTTTCAGTAGTTTGCATTATGGAAGTTCTTTTTTTTTCTCTTAAACCGAAAATGTAAAAGAAAACAGGTTGTTTGGTGATGGATCTTGTAAATTATGTAAATCCGGATTTTCAATCCGGATTTTAAAGATTCTTTCCATGATTTAAGTCAAATCTGAGAAGAAATTGACAAGAATCTGGATTTACTCAATCTAGAATTTAAAAGTTCTCATTTTGTTTTTGTCAAGAAAGATTTAAGTTAAATCCATCTTAAATTATTTACCCGGTTTCTCGAGTTATGATCATGCAACTTTTGACTTCTTCTAATTGTTACAGTCTTTGATGGCATTTCTGGTCACGATGAGCGAAGAGAAAGAAAATCTGATATTGAGAACTCGGAAGATGAAAGGTGGGTAAAGATTGGATCTTTGAGGAAAAGAGCAATAAATGCGTCAACTATATTCAAGCACACTTTGAGGAAGAGCAGGAGAAAGAGCAGTAGAGTTATTTCTGTTTCCATTGAGGATATAAGGGATATAGAGGAGCTTCAAGCTGTTGATGCTTTCCGCCAATCTTTAATTTTTGATGATTTGCTCCCTTCAAAACATGATAATTACCATATGATGTTGAGGTATTCCTCTATTTCTTTGTTAATACATTTTTTGTTTCCCATGATTGTGCAGTCATACTTTTATTAAACTTGAACCTCTTACTCTCCTTCTCTCTATCTCCACACGCGCGCGCGCGCACACACACATATATTAATATAATTAATTAATTTCATTCTGTTTTCTGATCTTAAATGCGTTTTATTATATGAAAATTGAAAATCTTTATTAAATTTGGGCTTTCCATCAAATTACCATGCTTAATACAAAGAAAATTTATGATATTTTAGGTTTTTGAAGGCTCGTAAATTTGATATCGAGAAAACAAAGCAGATGTGGGCAGAAATGCTTCAGTGGAGGAAGGAGTTTGGTGCCGACACTATTATTGAGGTACTTTTACGTTTATACATTGCTTTTATGCTGAAAACCATTTCTATAAGTAGAAATTTCAGGGTAAATGTGATTGAAAATATAACTTAAATTTTTTCAAGTTTCTATTTAAGAAGCAATGTTTTTCTGGTGGTTTGTTATTAATGAAAGTTAACTCACATGTAGTTGCAGACTTATAACATAGACCGATGCTACAAATGTTATCTTAATGCTATGATCTTGCTTAGTTTTTATTTGAGGCATTTAGAAACATACCATACAAGTCTTATGTTTTTACATGTTAACGCCTAAACATTCATATATAAATGCATAGCAATGAAATCGTTAACATTCCGTCAAAAATACCACCTTCACTATCTTTTTAAAAGTGCAATACATCATTACAACATAGAAGCAATGAAATCGTTAACATTCCGTCAAAAATACCATATTCACTATCTTTTAAAAAGTGCAATACATCCTTACAACATAGATTTATGACACCGAGGTGTTATAAATGTAAATATCAATATTTGGGTGCCAGATATGTTGATACATAAGAATTGTGTGGTTTGTATGCCAATTTCCCTTTTTATTTTTCTTTGTGCTTAACTTTAACTTCAAATTTCTGTCAGGATTTTGATTATGAAGAGTTGCCTGAAGTTTTGAAGTACTATCCTCATGGATACCATGGCGTAGACAAGGAAGGGAGGCCAGTTTACATCGAAAGATTGGGAAAAGTCGAACCAAACAAACTTATGCATGTTACAACCATGGAAAGATATATAAAATATCATGTTAAAGAGTTTGAGAGGAGCTTCCAACTTAAGTTTCCAGCCTGTTCTATTGCTGTAAAAAGGCATATTGATTCTAGCACAACTATTCTAGATGTTCAGGGTGTGGTATGTAATTTGAATCAATATTATGGTTTTGTTAAATAGGGGCTGAAAAATTTCTTAAAAAACAGAATTTGTTGACATTTTTTTCATGTAAATAGGGGCTGAAAAATTTCAGCAAGACTGCAAGGGAGTTAATTCAGAGGTTGCAGAAAATTGACAGTGACAATTACCCTGAGGTATGCATTCGAATTTCACTGATCTATCTAAGAACTCCGCTTAATTTGATTTCATTTTATTGTTCAGACATCATTGTGCAGAAATCCCCCATTTAATGCAATTTATGCTTTTGACCCTGCAGACTTTATGCCGCATGTTTATCATTAATGCTGGTCCAGGTTTTAGATTGCTATGGAACAGCGTAAAATCGTTCCTAGATCCCAAAACTACTTCGAAGATACATGTAAGTTTTGGAGTTTCGCTCGCACCTATTTTTTGTCTATTTTCAGTTTTTTTTTTTAATGAGAATACAACTAGTTTGACCAAATTGTTTTTAGGTTATTGGTGCCAAGTACCAGGGTAAACTTTTTGAAATAATTGATGCCAGGTAATCTTTCAAAGAGTAAATTGCCAAAATATATCCCTAACTAGTTACATGGGGCTGAGTAAATTGCCAAAATATATCCCTAACTAGTTACACGGGGCTATTTGAGTCTCAGAGTCTATAAAAGTGCCAAATTAGCCTCTAGAATTTTTCAATATGAGCTGAATTAATCCCTTAAAAAAAGACTAATTTAGCCTCTAATAAAAGAGCATGGGGACTAATTGATACTTTTATAAATTATGGGACTAAAATGACTCTCGACAAAGAGTCGGGACCATTTTGAAACTTACCATCTTTCAAAACTGGATTCATTTTCTTAGCAAAGGTTTCTTTTTTAATTTGATTTTTGAACAATGTTTTTGCATGTTGAACCTTCTCTAGTGAGCTGCCAGAATTTTTTGGTGGCACATGTACCTGTTCTGATGTGGGAGGATGCCTGAAAGCAGAGAGGGGGCCATGGAAGGATCCAAATATTGTGAAGGTCAATACTCTCTCTCTCTAGACATGGTGGTGGATCTCATGGTTCATGATAATTATTCTGGTTTTTGGATATACAGATGGTTCTTAGTGGAGAAGCCCAATATACCAGGCAAATTGTTACTGTTTCTAAAGGAGAGGGAAATATTATTGCTTATGCTAAGCCAAAATATCCATTGGTATGGCTTGCTTAAATTTTATGTGGCATTTCTATACATAGCACTCAATTCTTATGTATTTACATATCTCTCACCTAAAAGTTTTATATTCACACTCACAAACTCAAATTTTTAATAACATATAAAAAATAGCACTATTATCTCTTTTTGAAAGTGAAATATGCATTTGCATGAATATATAAATTCATAAGAATTGTGTACTATGAATGCAAATTTCCTAAAGTTAATTGATTGTCCACCAGGTTAATCTGTAAAACTAAAGTTTGATCTGTTGCTTGGTCAGGCGAAAGGTAGTGATACCTCCACCGCAGAATCTAGCTCAGAAGCAGATGATATTACTTCGCCTAAAACAGTTATGAGCTATGCGCAGTATCAGTGCTTAACTCCTGTGCGAGAAGAGGTAGGTTTGACTGTTAAGCACTCCGCCACTATCATCATATTCAAATTTAAGATTTTTCTAATGAACTTGTTGGTCTTTTTTTTACATTGTATGTTTAATGATTAATTGATTCATTTATTTTAAAATAATTTGTTTTCCAAGTAAAATTTGGTCTAACATGGCAGAGCAGATAAGATACTATTTATTTCCTAAATTATTTTGTAAGAAAAGGTGAATACGAAACCATAGCATGAATTAAATAATCAAATGTCATGGGTTTTGACAAATTTTGATCATCATCATTAGCATTAATTTTATTGTAATTTTTTGGGGTTGGATTTATAAATCCTCTGTTCTTGTAGAGTGCTATATGAGGTGTAAACTTTAACGGACATTTACATACATGCCGTGCAAATGTGTTTACATATTTAACACCTAAAATTTAATATTTACATTCACAACACTTAAATCATTAACATCACATCAAAGATACAACTTAAATAATTTTTAAAAGTCAAAGACACATTTTTATGCATAGGCCTATAGCACTAAGTTGTTAGATATGTAAATCCATAGAATTGTCTGGTACAATGTAAATTTCCAAAATTTTAATTGTGCTACAAAATGGATGGTTATTAATATTTTCAAACTCATGTTGATATCTTTTATGGTACGTTGAGTTTATTTGGGAGTGTTATCATATATATAATTTATCACAACAACAACAACAACAACAACAACAACAAACCTTTATCCCAGTAACTGGGGTCGAGTAACTGAATCCTTTTTCTCCATTATGTCCTATTGAGTATTGATGTCATATTTTCATGTAATTCTAATAGGTTAAGATTGTTTTTTATACAATACACCCAAGTCTTTTTAGGTTTACCCCTGTCTTTCTTAACATAAGTCAAATCTAAAATGTCTGCTCTTCTAACCGAATAATCAGATGGTCGACATTTAATGTGACCAAACCATCTAAGACGACTCTCTCTAATCTTGACTGCTACTGGAGCTACACCAACCCTATCGTAGATATATTCATATCGCATTTTGTCTTTAAGTGTTCTCACCTTAGTAACATTTAATTTTGTTTTATGCTTCTCTTTTAAAGGCCAACATTCTGCATCATAGAGCATTGCATGTCTTACTAGTTACCACCATTTTATAAAATTGTCATTCATGTCTAAGCGATACTTTTCTTTCACACAATAAGCCTGATGCATTCTTCCACTTCAACCAACCAACTTGAATTTTAATAATAACATCTCCATCTATATCATAATCACTTTGAATAATAGACCCGATATATCTAAAATGTTTACATTTTTTAATGATTTGATCGCCCATAATTACAACTCTGCCACTATACTTGCTACTGCTAAAAATTACGTTCCTTGTATTCAGTTTTTGATCTGCTCAAATGAAGACTTTTAGACTCCAATGTAGACCTCCATAATTTAACCTTTTCTTGAACTCTTTTCTAGCCTTATCCACAAGAAGGACATCATCAGCAAAAAACATGAACCAAGGCACAAACTCCTATAAATGCCCAGTAAGAGCATCCATAACTAAAGCAAAAAAAATGGTCTTAAAGTCGATTTATGATGTAATCCAACTGAAATAGGAAAATACTTGATCAATCTTTTTTGTTCGAACATAAGTAATAGCTCTAGTATACATATTTTTAGTGACTTGAATATAAGTCATATCAACACCTTTCTTCTCTAAGACTTTCCGAAGGACTTGTCTTGGAATCTTATTGTAAGCTTTTTCTAAATCAATAGAAATCATATGTAGATCCTTCTTACTCTCTTTGTACTTCTCCATCAAACTTTTCTATAAATTTATAGCTTTCATAGTAGACGTGCCTGACATAAATCCAAATTAATTATGGGAAATCTTTGTATCACTTATTAAACTATGTTCAATTAGTTTTAAAGTATGACACATCAACTTAATTCCTCTATAATTTGCACACTCTTGTGCATCCCTTTTATTCTTGAAAATGGGAACTCAAATACTCTTCCTTTTTTTTTTGTTTTTAAAATAATATTAAAGAGTTTAGTAAGTCAAGAAACTCCAAATTATTCTAAATATTTTCATATTTCAATTGGGATTATTTCATCAGATCCTACTGATATTCCACCTTTAATTGTCAAATGAATAAATTATTTATAATAGAAATTTACACTTATTTTAATATTCACTTGTTATTTCTTTTATTGTTCTCTTCATTTGCTTATATAAAGACACTTATATACTTGGACTAATATAATAATTGAATACATATGTAATCCTTTATTCCTTCTAAATTAATTTGAATATTGTGATTTTTTTTCATGGAAATCCTTCATTTTAGTAAAAAAAACACGCCATATCATGCTGTTAATTAACCACTCCATCCAATTTTTTTGATTTTTCAATGAGTTTCCACTAAACCAAATTTGTTCTTGGTGCAACAAAAACTAATGAATATAATATTTTAACATTTTAGAAACTAGGAAGCAATGAATGTTTGTAATTTGAAGAATCCTCTTCTAAGTACCTTTGGTTTTATTTATTTATTTTTATTTTTGAGTTGTGTTAACAGAAATTTTTTATTTCTTTTCAGTCAAAAATTGTTGGGAAGAGCATCCTGGAATCCTCAGAGCCTGAACGTGTACTGGTAGTTGACAAAGCCATGGATGCAGAATGGAAGAAAGAGAGCCCGAGCAGCACAAAATACGAATCAAAAGGTTTGTTAACGTACAATTTTAGCAATTTTGAGGTATCAAACTCAGCTGTTTAATATTATGTTGGGGCATTTACATACATACAGACCAATTCCTATGTATTTATATATCTAAAATTTATGTTTTAGATTTATACGACCCAAAAAATACTGCTGTTTTATGTATGTAAAAATTGAAGTTCAGATTTATACGACCCAAAAAATACTGCTGTTTTATGCATGTAAAAATTGAAGTTCAGGTGTTTCATATGTAAATACATAGGAATTGAGTGGTTTGGATGTAGACTGCACTACAAACTGCAGAAGATGCATCAATATTCCATGCTCCAGTCGAGCATTTTAATCAAAATCTCTTTTGTAATGAAAAAAATGAAAATTGTTTTCTTGGTGCAGGTTCTTCAACTCTCTTGGTTGATATGAAGAATTATTCTGAAGGAATTAGAAAGCAGTTCTTTGCATATATTATGGCATTATTTACATTATTCTATACGTTCATCAGCCGTGTAGCGAAGCAGCCTCAGGAAGAAACTCCTGAGTCAGATTGGCATGATGCTGCATTATTTCGTGAGTCAACCTCTAAGGAGAAGTCGCAGCCTTCGTCACCCGATCCTGGATTCAAGGATGCCGACCTCCTTTCATCTGTTTTGAAGAAGCTCGGCGAATTGGAAGAAAAGATCAGTGTTCTTCAATCGAAACCATTGGTGATGCCTCGCGAGAAGGAAGAGCTACTCAACGCTGCAGTCTACCGCGTCGATGCGTTAGAAGCTGAACTTATTGCTACAAAACAGGTAAATTTGCAGTTTTAGATTTTGGTTTTGTGCGTTACAAATATTCTACTTTTGGTTGCTTTTTTATAATTATACCGCCCAATTCTTTCATATTACATGCAAAATACTTTTATTTTAACTTTTAAAATGTGAAATACATCTTTTGATGCATGGGTAAGGCGGTGTATATTTAAAACTTTAAGTTTAGGTGTTGTATTTGTAAATACATAGGAATTGAGTGGTGTGTTTGTAAAACTTCCTTTATACGAAGATGATTACTCACAAGCTGCAACAAAGCTTCACACAACACAAGACATACTTTTGAGTGAAACTTTGGAGTTTTTGTTTGAGACTCTATTCAGACTCCTGAAACAAAAAAATTAAAGGGAAATTTACAAATTTAGCATACAATTCTTATGTAGTTACATATCTCACATCTAAACTTTCATATTTACATACATAGCTCTTTGATGCTTTAAAACTATTCATGAAAATGTGTATTTCATTTAGAAAAGATCACTTTTTGATTGGATTAGGGGGCTTCCGGCTACCCTACTCTTTCGTCTGGTTTTGGTTCGTAGTCTTCGTATCCAGAATTGTAAATGATAATACTGCTATTTTTTTAATGTGATATTGAAGATTTAAGTGCTATGTATAAATATAGCAAGTTTAAATGTGAGATATATGAATAGGTAAGAATTGTGTGTTATCTATGTTAACCCCAAAATCTTAAATGGACTATTTACATGTGGCCATTTTAATCCTGAAGTCTATTAAAATGTCAATTTAATCTCCAAACTCTCTCAACATCGGGTGAAGTCCGAGGACTAGTTTTATAGATTTTGAGACTAAAATAGTGTTTCATGTAAACAATTAGAGGATTTTTTTGGCACATGACTCGGACCAAAAACCATGCTAGAGAATGTCTCCACGTATAATTTCACCCTTCTTCGTTGTCGACGGATTCATTGATGTTCGTGAATTCTAAACAATAGATGTTTTTGCATCTCCTTTGGTTGTATCTGATGTGTTTCGGTGCGCGGTTTAACAGGCTTTGCATCAAGCTCTCATGAGGCAAGATGAGCTGTTGGCATACATTGATTTTCAGCAAGAGGCTAAATTCCGGGTTTGTTGAAGTTTCCTTTATATGTTTGTCATTTTACTCTTCATTTGATGGTTGTAATATTGCTTATTGCATATTTATTTTTTATTTTTTTGCAGAAGAGGAAGTTCTGCTTTTGATCTCTTGATTATTTGTTTGAGGGAAAATGATTTCTTACAGAAGATGATGATGAAATAGGCTTTAAGAAGGAGATGCAAGAGATATTGAAGGAGAGATATTTGTCTCCCATCATATTCTCTATTTTATTTCACTCACTTATTGTACAAAATAAAAAAAAGAGTGGTTTTCATGCAAAACATCTAAAAATTTTGAATATTACGTTTTGACCACATATTTAAAATTTTTCATTTCGATCGCCAAAATTTTATTTCTTTTTAAAAGATGAGCGGCCAATCCATTATATTTAAAGTTTTTGGCGGTTGAAATGAAAATTTTAAATTTGAATGATTAATCGTTGTATTTGAAGTTTTGGGTGTTTTATATGTAAAATTTCAAAAAAAAAAAAAAAAAAAAATCTTTTGGTTTGAAACAGTAAAGATATGTAATTTATTTTTTTAAAATTTTCTTTTATTGGGGTGAATTGAGGATTTGACAAATTTGGATGAGTCTGATTTTTTCCGGGTGTTTGTCTCATTTGTGATTTATTTCATGCTAAAACTTGAATTGTTCAGACATTTTTCTTCCAATTTATTGAACATCAAAGACTGATTCAAATCATTTTGATTAAGCTCTGAGAGGACATTTTAATATATCTAACTATTTTGAGATTTAATTATCATTTTATTGTTCTTATATTTGTTTGAAATTAGAACATATGCTTTTAAATTTTATAGAACTTTTGAAAGTCAGAAATGGACATTTATTTAAGCATCGCAAAGCCTGTAAGAACTTTTAATATTTTTCTAACTATTGATTGCTCTAAATCAAATAGCTCAAAAATATATCTTTTATTTACATGTATAGCTTAGAATTTTATGGTAATTTTACATTTAACTGATGTTACAATAAATAATGATAATAATAATAATTTTTTTATACATTTCACATTAGTTTTATGTTTTTATATGTATAATATCCTTCAATTTTATTTAATAATTTAATAATTTAATCACATTAAAATGCATTCATGAATTTAAGAAATATATCTATAAATATGAAATTTTGTGATAGCATTAAAATCCCTCCGAAAACAAATGAATATAATTTAACAATTATATATTTAATTAGTCTAAAATTTAATAGTATATATAAGGTTCTAGAAATATAGAAGAGCAAGTGAGCAGGGAGGAACTTGTGGGTTAGAGTGGAGCGACCAATATAAATAAATAGGGGTGTGAGGACTGAGCAAGCGGTGAAAGAAGAAGGCTACTTGATTGGCGGGAGATCCATTGAAGTTTGAAGGAGAGGAGCTCGCTCCTTCAGATTCTTCTTCCTTCCTCAGATAATTAAGGTGAAACACCCCAACCCTAGATGTTGTTATTCATCATTGGAGCTTGAAGAATGTCTGTTTATATTGTTGTATCTGCTCAGGCGATTCATGATTTCTTAATTATCATTAATCAATTAAAATAATAAAATTAAGTTAAACAAAAATAAATTAAAACCACAAATCTATCTCCCGCTTCCTCCCGGTTTCGCACAAACTTTCCATCTAGGCCGAAAACCCTCGCTTAAGTCACTCCCCTACTGGTTTCGCCCAAAATCATTGCCTCCGTGAACAAACCTTCGCGATACAGTCGCCATTAGAGCTAGGAAACGAGGGGATCGCGGTTTACAGACACCGCCGAAACTCCCATCTTATTCATCCCTCTTCTCCGCTCCTACCAGAAACCATTGAGGAAGGTAAGCATCTTCCAGTTCGCGCCATTCCGGATTAGATTTACTAAATCCGCCGTTTCACAGGAAGGATTTAGTAAATCCCGGATTTATCGCCAATCGGCGTCATTTTGGGATTTACGGGAGCTTGGGTTTTCCGGAGCCATCTTTTGCCGTTCGGCAGGATTTAGCTTATATCCTGCATAAATCCTGCTTAATTAAAACAGGCTACCAAACACCCCCTAATTAGTTCTCATGTGCACTTTTCCCTCCATGTCCATCTCAAGGATCGGTGAAACAATGGTGGATAAATGTATGGTGGATGCTTTATTGATTTTAATCACTATGAATGCTTGTTGAATATTTGGACAGCCAATTTCTCGGCATGCATAGCCATCAGCTATATTGGTTTGTCGTTGTCATTTAAGTTGACTTCCAATGACTCAATTTTACCATATTTTGCTCCATATGTAAACAAGGATAGATTAACTTTTTAGTAGGCGAACCATCAACTTCAAGAAGTAATTATGCTGGATGAATTTTTGAATGTACAATATCTTTGATCACACATAGCCACAAGTTTTATCAGTCTAATAAGTTTCACTATCTTTGACACTATAACTTGACATATTTCATACGGGACATTTAAGGTGGTGCTTTTTCTTCTGCAGATTATACTAAACATGCCAGCGCCTGAAAGTTTTCCATTTTGATTGAAACATACAGTATCTGTTGTATAAAGTGATGTGGATATTTGGACATTGACAGAAATTAGAATCTTCCTAAAAAGTTTGTTACAATCACATTTGCCAAAGCATTTTGTTTGATTGGGATTTAAGTACTTTACAAGTATTTTTTTCCTACCTGCGCACACACTCGAACACACGCGCCCCGCATATGCAAGATCTTGAACCTAGGACCTCTTGGTTGAAAGTCAAAGCTCTCAACCACTAGGCTAAGGTGGCTTGCAAGTAATTTACAAGTAAACCTCTTTTTTTGTTTTTTTTTTGTGTAATTTAAATATTTTTTATTTTATTTTTTGCCTGAGTGAAGCAAATTGCCTTGATGAATTTGTTACACTTTCTCTGGGGGTACAGTTCCCTTTAAAATATTTGTTTGATTGTATTTAGTCTTTGGTCCAGATGTTGACGTTCAGGATATTCAGCTCAGGGATCATTCCTTTCAAGGTGTTTTAAAATACATATGATTTCCTTATAATTCTTGGTTTCTCTAGCATGTAGCATTAGCTACACTTTGACGATTTTTTCTCCTTCTGAGGTTTACCTAATTCTCTGTAAAATGATTTAATCCTCTCTTCTGTTTTTTAGTTCTCAGGGTTAAATCATCTCTTTTTTGGCTTTCATTTCCAGGTTTAATGTTTTTTAAAAATAGTTGCATACTTGATTTTGTTCAGGTGAGGCCTTCTTCTGTAATTGGAGCATCGGGAAACAATAGAAGCCATCAATATAGTCATAGTGCTCCTGTGATGGCTGATAACGAACTTGGAAACTTACCTAATAGCAATTCAAAAGATTTTCCTCCAAGAACCTTTGAAGTTGTCGTTGCTGCTACTAGAAAAATGGGTATAGGAAAGGATGGTAAGTTACCATGGAAGCTTCCATCTGATCTCAAGTTTTTTAAGGAGCTCACGATGGGCACATCAGATCCTGCAAAAAAGAATGCAGTGATTATGGGTAGGAGGACGTGGGAGAGTATTCCTATCCAAAATAGACCTTTGCCAGGTCGTTTGAATGTCGTACTGACTCGTTCAGGAAGCTTTGATATTGCCACTGTAGAGAATGTTGTTATTTGCAGTAGCATGAACTCGGCCTTAGATCTGCTAGCATCCTTTCCTTACTGTTTCTCTGTTGAGAAAGTGTTTGTGATAGGTGGCGGCCAGATACTGAGGTGAGTTTTTGGTTTTTGATATTGTTAGTTGTAAGGGCTGAACTGAAATATTTATGATATTGTTGCAGGGATGTGCTTAATTCATCTAGATGTGATGCCATCCATTTCACAGACATAGAAGCAAGTATTGAATGTGATACATTCATCCCAGAAATTGATGGTTCGGCGTTTCGGCCTTGGTTTTCATCTTTTCCATCAGTAGAGAGCAACATTAGATATTCTTTTGTGACATATGTACGTGTGATGCGTCCGTCTGGTGAATACCAGGCTCAGGAAAATGGCCAAGCAACTAATGGTGATTCACGTAAGGATAAGTTTAAAATCCAGAAATTCTCTTTTCTTCCTAAAATGATATTTGAACGGCATGAGGAGTACGCTTATCTTAGGCTTGTGGAAGATATCATATCTCATGGTGCTATAAAGAGTGATCGGACGGGAACGGGGACGCTTTCAAAGTTTGGTTGTCAGGCAGTTATCTTTCATTTTATCTTTACTTATTTCATCTATGGTGATTGTTAATGATTTTGCACCCTGCACCCAAAAAAAAAAAAAAATTGAAATAGTTATTTTGTCTTTTGTTTTCTTGATTTCTCTCCAGATGCGATTCAATTTGAGGAGATCTTTTCCACTTCTTACCACCAAGGTAGTGCTTTCTAAACTGAAGAAATTTGCTATTACAATGTATAAGCAATTGAGGTAAATAGGACTAGCTTCCATGTCACAACCAAGGCTCTCTGAAAGATCTTGAATTTATTTGAGGTCTTAGCACTTGAAAAAGAAATTGCATTGGCTCTAATTACAATGTAGTTAGAGTAGATGTCTATGCAGATTTATGAGACATTATGTGGATAAGTTATTACAACTATACAAAGTAAATAAATCAATTAATGAATTAAGTTTTATTGCTTGAAAAAAATGAATGGTATTATTTTTTAGCCGACCATTCTCCTTAAACTTTATTGTTCATTATAATCTTCTAGTGTTAAAACTGTTTTTTGTACAACTAATTTATTGAAAGTACTTTTTTTCTTAAAAAAATATGATTATAGATTTGATTTTTCTTAAGTACTATTGACAAGTTGCTCTCTTTGCTTATGAGTATATCTTTGTTGTGTCCACCAAAGATAAAGTAGGCTATCTCAACCCTCAATCCCTGAAATGGAATCTTCGACTTATAAGCTGGATATATCTAGTTACCTTTCTTTCTATTATTTTAGTTTGCAAGGTTAAAAGTTTTTTTTTAATATTTTTTTGCCTTTTTGTGTTATATATTTTGCTTATCAATGTTTTGTTGTGTTTCATAGCAATTTTACATGTTCAAAATTTTGCTTTCAAGCGCAATGTTAATTTGATAAAAAATGGTTTCACAGAGAGTATTTTGGCGAGGCGTTGTTGAAGAATTATTATGGTTTATAAGTGGCTCAACAAATGCCAAGGTATCATATTCTACTATTTGTTTATTTTTTATCATTTTTAATGAGCATCTCATTAAAATATGGCTTTCCCATTACCATGCCTATTTTGTTTCATGTTCATCATAGGATTGTGCCATGCGCATTTCAACCTGTAAATGATCACTATTAGCACTGGTTGCATAAATTTTGGACTTTAAATTATTCTTTTAAATGATTATCTGAAGCTTAACCATGTTTTAGAAAAAAGTGGGCATTTACATATTTAACACCTAGATTTTACTTTCTACATTTATGCCACCCAAATCTTTCATATCACATAAAATACAACCATTTTAACTTTTAAAAAGTGACATGAACCTTTTCATGCATATGTTACATGGTATGTATGTAAAAAATGAAGTTTAGGTGTTAGATATGTAAATTCATTGGATTTGAGTGGTATGTGCTCAAATTTTCCTTTAGAAAAAGTATCCTCAAGGTTCATATAAATATTTTTTATTCTCAACCTTTTCACGTAGATTGTACTACATTAGTTCATTATTCCATATCTTTCTATCATTTTCTTTTGTCAATGGATCTGTACATTCTACATCAGTGCACATTCAGCTCTTTATTATAGTCTCTCTTTTTAAAAATAGAATGCAGAGATTGCTATTCCCTTCTTATTGTCATATGATTTTTTTTAATAGCATTCAACCTTCTTTTATAATTCTTGTGTTAGTCTATACTGATACAGAAAACCTCTAGCATAAGCTCCCCAAATTTGCTTCTTGTAATGGTTGAATGAGTTATTTATACTGAAATTATACTCCTGTGAAATTTGAGTTATGGTTCTTTAAAGAAGCTAGCATAGACTTCGTATAAAATCAATTTTTAATCCTTTTTGCTAACATATGAAGACTTAAACAAACTTTTCCTTTTTTAAATCGCAATTTTAGCTTCCATGGCCAAAAATTGAAATGCAGGGCTCTTTTATGGAAGTATTTTACATGCTACTATTATGGGAATATGTCACATTTTCATTTTGAACGCACAAATCCATTGTTATAAGGATCTATATGTGTACATAGGTACGTTGGTAGGTTTGTAAGCATGTATACTTAATACAGATATGCATTTGTAAGCATGAGAGTTGTTAAGTTAAGAAGCCTTTTTCCAATACAGTGAACAAAATTTTTCTTTGATTGATCAACAATTAACGATTATTTTTGTGCACTTTTTATGCAAACAGGTACTGCAAGAAAAGGGAATACACATATGGGATGGGAATGCATCTAGAGATTATCTCGATAGGTGTTTCTTAATCTTATGTCATGCCTGTTTTGTTTGTAGTTTGTTCTTCTATACTTTGTTTTGTGGCAGTATTTTTTAATCATATTTTTCTTTTCTTTTCTAGGGTTGGTCTACATCATAGGGAAGAAGGTGACTTAGGACCTGTCTATGGCTTTCAGTGGAGGCATTTTGGTGCTGAGTAAGCTGAAAAATTCTATATTTTATATTGCTCTATTCTTTTAACTAGAATTTTTTTGATCATGATAGTGTTTTAACAGATATGTTGACATGCTTACTGATTATACTGGAAAAGGGTTTGACCAGTTGTTAGATATCATTGATATGTTAAAGAAAGATCCAGATAATCGGCGATGTATTCTTTCAGCATGGAATCCTTGTGATCTAAAAAATATGGCTCTTCCACCTTGTCACATTTTATCACAGGTTAGTTTTCTTTAATAATTTTTTTTTTATTGTTTTAGATGAACATTCTACTTTAGTAATTAAATTTTTTTTGTTTTATAAAAATTGATTGGCACGAGGCTCAAATTAAGCGTCGATTTACTTTTGCTACTTCCTTACTTCAAAATGTTGATCTTTTTGAACATAAAGACTTTCTTTTTGACAGTATAGTTGCCTTGTGTGGTGCAAAGTTTGGTATGCTTTGCAAGATCCATTAACTTGTTCCATTTGGGGGTGTTGGCGCACAACATTTCCTACTGCCATGCACTTTTAAGAGCTATGAAACATGGGAAGTTTATTTTTTGAAAGTTGTCCTTTTCAGATATCATTACCTTCAATTGAGTGGAAAGGCGTGTCTGGCGTAAAGTTTGGCGCGATTAGAAATAAATAGTTTTCTAATATTGAGTTTGATTATACTTTTTAAAATGAGGAAGAAATGACATTCAGATTAAAATATAACTTTTATGATTTGATCATTACCCTATATGTCATTTGGAGAAGACATTTGGCAAAAATATTAAGATGATTTCTTTCTCTAGCCATGGTGAGCACTTTTTGTTGGCTATGTTGTCACAGCTCTTTGAATACTCATTTCCTTCTCGGAAGGCACTCATTCTTTCAACAAAGCAAAGTAATATCCTAATGCCACTTCAGTATATACCAAGCCTCTTATTGATGAAAACGTTCGGCTCGTATTGGCTCGAAATACTACTCATCAATTATATATATAATATTGATGAGTAGTATTTTTAAATAATTTAATTGAGTTCAAGGTTACAAAGATTTATAATCAATTAAAATTATTAATTAAAAAAATAGAATAAAAATATATTAAATTATATTTAAATGATGTTTTAATATATATAATAAGATTTAAACGAGTCGAACACGAACAATATAGGTGTTGTTCCCGTACTTTGGATTGCATGGCTAGGGTTGTCAAAACGGCTCTTTGTTCATGTACAGTTCGTGTTCGACTCACTAAGCAAACGAGCTGAATACAACAATTTTTTTGTGTTTGAAATATAAATGAGCCGAACATGAACAGTAGTATTTTTTAACGAGCCAAACACGAGCTGTGCCTGAGCTTTCCCGTGTTTGGCTCATTTACTCGCCTAGTAAGAAGTGGAAAGAACTATTCCGGAAATTGAGATTTTGAGCAGAGTTTGAAGATACTTTGATTTTGAGCTACAAGATGAGTAGAACCTAAAGGTTCTGCAAGCCAAGAAAAAAATAAATGGAGAGAGACGGGTCATGAATCTTAAATTGTTTGTTCCGTAGGGCTATTTCCACTCTGCAGACTCTTCTTCAATGTCTTTTTACAAGGTGTAATCTTTTGAGAAGTATAAATCTATTGCAAATAAATAGGCTAACAACAAGATTTCTAAGGTAGTTTTTTTTGAGAAGATGAGTGAAAATTTATAGGGGACACTTGTAATTAGTGTTCTAACTTTTCTCATGACTATTAAAATAGATGGTACTCTAAAATTCTAATATTATGATGTCTACACTACGGATTAACTCTAGATTATATTTGTAACTTATGAGGGAGTTTGTTTTATATTTTTAAGATGATTTTGTATGCTAAAAAGCAAATAAGTTGAATGAGTTATTAAGGTAACTTTTACTTGATCACCTTTTTTACACAATTACTTCATGAAACAATGATATTCTACCCTAATAATTTGCGGTTAAAGTGTTTCATGCTCAAGTTACATAAATTGAATTTGGTTTGACTTAACTTAATGGGAGATTCCTCACCATAAGACTCAACCTTCTCTGTGATTTTTTATTATACCTAAATTGGTTTGATTTGATTATAACTAAATGGGAGATTATACCTTAGGCATTATGAAAGCATAATTTAGAGGTAGTGATCTCGTTATCTTGTTGCTTGAGCTCAGAAGATCATGCAAGTGGGTTGATGGATCGTTACATCCAATGTGCTTTTCAAGAATTTCCAATTAACACTTTTGATCTAATGATTGTTGAGAGCATCATGTCACCTCAGAATATTTGTTGGCATCATCAATGAATGATATGCTCTTTTTAAGATCGCAATTTTGACATTTTATTCATCATTCTCGTTATTTTTGTTAACCTTGTTACAGGCATGAATATTGAGTTGCTTAATTAGACAAAGGTGACTATTTTAAGGCATACGTAGGTCAAAATACTATCAATAAGTCAACTTGTATTGATCCAAAATTAGCCAAACAATTTTAGTCTTCGAGTGGGCTCTTCGTTATGGGTTCTCTAGTCTCATGAGAGGGGTTGATTGCCCGTTATTAGTTGGGATACCTTGAGATGTCTAGATACGTCAATGACATTATCATGGTTGTCGATGATAATTTTTGGATGGAATCTTTTTTTGTTCGACACATGGGTTAAAATTGTCGACGTATTGGCATACTTTATCTACTTCAATGACAGAAGGAAACAACAATAGCACGAGCAATCACAGTTTCTTCCTTTAATATGGGTATTGTTAAGAATTGATTGCTCATCTCTTTGGAATACTTGATGAATATGTGGGTGGCAAATGGAGAGAGTTTATCATGTAGGTGGAAATTATGAGCAAAACAAAGGTAATCAAATGCCCAATGAGTAAGATAACGAAATATATAGATTGCGGGAAAAAATGTTAGATGATTGATTGTTGGGATGTGTCGTGATACAATAGTAGGCAGATAGGATTGTGTCTCTTTAGGAATAGCGAGCAGCAATTATATAAAACATGAGTGCTCACCAACACTGAGGATATTATTTTTACATTCCAAAACTATTTTGTTGGCAGGTATGTATTATGCAGTTGATGAAGGCCATTTTTTTAACATGGTTCATGAAATTTGTTTGTGTGTATTTTAAAGTATTATTAGTGCGCACAACTAAGCAACAAATGGAAAGTTGAAACTTATTATTATATTTTTTTTTATAAAACTTGCTAAAAATATGAACTTATGATTGAAATATTTCTAAAATTGACTCAAATAATTTTTGAATAATAATCAATAAATGTTGAAAATTAATGGAACATTAAATCAAAACAGAACTTGGGCCCCATATGTTACTTACTCAAAAGTAAATTGATAATGACTGGTAATTAGGGCTGTCAAAAAAAGCTCATTGTTCGTGAACAACTCGTCTTCGGCTCGTTAAGTTGCTCTTGTTTGAATCATTCGTAAAGTAGGCGAGCTGAACATGATCAATGTTTTAAGCCTTAATTATAAATGAGTTCACGAGCATCCCTATGTTCGATTGTGTTCTACTCATTTTAGCTCGAATACAACAATAACAACAATAAGCCTTTATCCCACTAATTGGGGTCAGCTACATGAATCCTTTTTCTCAATTGCATCCTTTTAAGTGTCATATTTTCATTTAATTTTAACAAATTAAAATAATTTTTTATACAATATGTCCAAGTCTTTTTAGGTCTACCTCTCTCTTTCTTACTATAAGTCGAATCTAAAACACCTACTCTTCTAATAGGATCATTAAATAGTCAACGCTTAATATGATCAAACCATCTAAAACGACTCTCTCTAATCTTGTCCACCACTAGAGCTACACCAACCCTATCATGGATATATTCATCTTGTATTGTCTCAAAGTGTCGAGCCACTCATCCACATAGGCATTTTGATGTTAGCAACACTTAACTTTGTTTTATGTTTTTCTTTTAAAAGCCAACATTCTCCGCCATAGAGCATCGCAGGCCTCACCACCATTTTATAATATTTTCTTTTCAGTCTTGATGTACTTTTTCATCACACAACTTGATGTATTCCTCCACTTCAACCAATCAAGTTGAATTCTACTAATAACATCCCCATCTACATCACCATCAATTTGAACAATAGACTCGAGATATCTAAAACGATGACATCTTTTAATGATTTGATCACCCATAGTCACAACTCTGCCACTAGATCTACTACTAAAATTACATTCCATGTATTTAGTTTTTGATTTGCTAAAACAAAACCTGTTAGTCTTCAATGTAGACCTTCATAATTCAAGTTTTTCCTGAACTCTTTCTCTAGTCATACAATAAGAAGGATATCATCAGCGAAAAACATACACCAAATGACATCCTCCTTTAAATTTCTAGTAAGAGCCTCCATAACAAAAGAAAAAAGATATGTGCTTAAAGCTGATCCCTGGTGTTCCAACTGAAATAGGAAAATACCTGGTCAATTCTCCTTCTATTCGAACACAAGTAACAACTCTAGTCTACATATTTTTAATGACTTGAATATAAGTCATATCATTACCTTTCTTTTCTAGAACTCTCCTAAGGACTTCTCTTTGAACCTTATCACAAGCTTTTTCTAAATCAATAAAAATTATATGTAGATCCTCCTTATTCTCTTTGTACTTGTTTTAGGTCGAATAAATAAATAATATATTTAATATTTATGTATAATTTATTATATATATGTATATCTAGTTCTAAATCACCATAGCTTATGTGGTCATGCGGTTATGCGCCTTTTATTGCGTAGCAATGGTGCAGGTTCAAATCTAACACTATACATTTATTTTTCTAATTAATTTAAATAATCTAATTCGAGCCGAACATGTGCCAAACACGAACAAAAATGTGTAAATCGTGTTGAACACGAACACACTGTTCGCGAGCAATTTTGAACAAGAGCCGATTTCAAACAAAATTAATTTTGAACCAACAGAACACAAGCCAAGCCTGAGCTCACTCAAGGTCGTCTCGCTGAACATCACACAATAATGTTTATATAATTCATGAGTAGAACATTCCAATATGGAAGGGTGGTGACAAATTCTTGAAGTTGATTAGGAAAATGGTCAATCAATTGTGCAACTGATGAGTTACGAGTAATACTTATAGTTTATCTCCCTTACCAATCTTCTTCTAGCAAGATCTTCTAAGATACAATGTAGAGGATAAAAGGTTACAAAATAATTTGGAGAAGTTGTAAGAAAATGCATAGACAATAAATTTCCTGAAATTTGGGGAACATATATCATCACATTCAAGACAGATTTTGAGAATTGTGCAGAATACATTTCCAAAAATATTGGATGGAAAACCAATGATGATAGTTGGCAAAGGAGACATGCGCGCCTGTCATGTCGGAAGTTGCTTTTGAATTTAAATTGAGCAGTAGATTTAGTAAATTTAAAGCTTAGATTAAGAAATGTCTTTGTTTGTTATGCAGTGAATCAATATTCATCTCGAGGCATAATAGTATTGATAGAATTAGACGAAAGCAATACTTAACAGTCATATGTGGTAGCAATGTTTGGTACTGTGGAGAAGAATTTAGTATGTCTGAGTCATGACACTATGAGAAAACCTGAGAATTGAGGAGAACTAAAATCTTGAAGATGAACATGTCAAGTCTTGACTTCTAATTTAGCAAGATTGCAAGAAGGGCTGGTTACAAGATTTGACACAGCTCTTATGTAACAAAGGTGTATGCCAGCAGAATATCAAGTCCTCTGTTCACTTTATACAGTAATGTGGGAGCAAATTTGCGGTCCTAGCTACAGTGGAGCTACAGTAATACGGGCGTAAAAAGCGCAGGAGCAATTTCTGTCGTCTATACCGAACCGGTCTAGAATCGAAAGGGCAAACTGGTCTCCCACCAAATAGAATTCATTTCTTGAATAAATGATCAGAGAAGAGAAGAATTCAGTAAACGATCAAAAAAATAGAAAAAGATCATTGTTGTTAATGAAGCTGATTTTGTTTCTTGGAACTTACAATTTTTTATCTTTATTTTCCAGTTTTATGTGGAGAATGGAGAACTTTCATGTCAAATGTACCAGCGTTCTGCAGATATGGGTCTTGGTGTACCATTCAACATTGCTTCATATTCACTTCTGACATGTATGATTGCTCAAGTTTGTGGTATGTCTCTTAGCAAACTCCTCAGATATAATCACTTTTTATTAATTTTATTAATTTTTAATTTTTTTTAAGTTGATGACTTTGTTAAATTGATTGCATTATAAAGCATGTTATTCATTATTTTTGAAAAATGATGTATTATTATGCTGGCTTAGTGGATTTATAAGTCTTGAGCATATTTTGTCCCCTGAATCCGACTCTAATACCATATAAATTGTTGGTCTTAAAACCTCTCTCTAATGTAGACTATTATCATCTCTTCTCATCATACTCAGTAATGCTGAAGACAATTTTATGCACTATAGAAATGGCAGACATTGATTAAAGTAAAGTAAATGTATAAAGTTTATTTTTGTTGAATTTTAATTCCTTAAAACTTTGTTTTGATTATTTCAACGTGCAGATCTTGTTCCTGGGGATTTTATTCATGTCATTGGTGATGCTCATGTATACAAGACTCATGTTAGGCCATTGCAAGAGCAGCTTCGGAGGCAACCTAAACCATTTCCGGTAAGCATATATACATATATATATATATA